AAAAACCAGGAAAACACACACACACACATACATACACACAGAAATGCTTCTAAATAACACACAGGTTAAAAAGGGTATCATCAAAGGAATTACAGAATACTTAGAATGGAATTGCAAATTATAATGAAAATAGTACATATCAAATTTTGAAGGATGCAGTTAAGGTGGTATTTAGAGGATAATTTTTAGCTTTGAATACGTTTGTTTTTTAAATGAATGTTGTACTCAGTGGATTAAAAGCAATAAGGAGAATGAGATGTAAAGCCCATAAGAATGGGTGTTTCAGAGGAAAAACATCCAGCTAATCAGAGCTCTACACAAAGCTGCAGTCTCATAATCTATTGGAACCCTACCTTCACCCCTGCCCGTGGATTAGATACTGCATTGTTGGCCAAGTCACTGAATTTCTCTAAGCCTCAATTTTTTAACCTGTAAAGTGGGGATAACAGCACTTTCTTCTCTAAACTGGTTTGAGAATTAAACAAGATAATACACAAAAAGCACTTAGTGCAGCAGTGCTCACAGCAGTGCACTTAGTGCTCAATAAATGATTCCTCTTATGATTATCCTTTCCAACTCCCAAAATGCATGATTCTAACTTTAGTAGAATGAAATTTAAGACAAACATGAATTCTAGCCAAAAAATCTAATCAATAGTGCAGCCCAGGTGGCTCCGTGGTTTAGCGCCGCCTTCAGCCCAGGGCGTGATTCTGGGGACCCAGGATAGAGCCTGCTTCTCCCTCTGCCTGTGTCTCTGCCTCTCTCTTTCTGTGTCTCTCATGAGTAAATAAATAAAATCTTTAAAAATCTAATCAATAAAATCTAATTAATAAATTAGACCTTCATTTTTATTTCACAATACCAGTATAGATTTGTTTAAAATATATTCTTCCCCCCATTAGGGAAGATATTAAAATAGTATTTTCTTCCTATTATTATTATAGAAATGAAACACACAAGGAACAACAAAAAGCTAGTTTCTTGTTATTCATAAAATCAAATCCAAAAATTGACTTCTATTTCAGAACTACAATGAAAGCAGAGAAATGTTTTTTTTAAAAAAGAGAAAAGTGCTAAAAATAAAGCTGTAAAAAACTGATTCTCTTTATTTTGAAAATATTCTATATATTTTTTAATATACCTTTCAGAAAAGGCATGGAGTTGAAAATGGCCACTATTTGTACTTTAATGGGTCTGCAATTTCTTTTAAATCAAGTAGCATATAATAAATTGGTCAAAAACAGGTTTTCACTTATTCATTATTATTCTTCTCCAAAAATGGTTATAGGTCTTTAACTTCTCCAATTCTATTTTTCATTTTGCTGGAGAATAACAACCATCTCTAACCTTCAACAACCTGATGTAAAAACAAACTCTAAGAACATTTTTCTCACCTCTTCCCAGATTTCTGTCCAATATTCATTCATTCCTTTTTCTTTAATTAGGATGTGATAATATACATTACATGATAAATAATACACTGCCACAGATTTTAGGTTTCTTTTAGAAAATAATTTTCTTTTTCTTTTTCTTCCAGAAGGAGTCACTATACACTGTTTATAGAACACTTTCCCCAACCCATCTTTAAAAAATATATGTTCACCCACCTTTTAAAAATGTACACTGATAAGTTTATAAACACATTAAAATCCATTGTACATCTTGGACAATGAAAGCAATCAGATCTTGAGCTTCATAGTTGGCTGGATTTTGTACAGTAATTATATCCAGTGTTTCATGCTGAACTTTTTTCCTTTCATCTAGTAGAAATTATGTCTCCTTAGGTTTTGAAATCTAAATGTTATTACTTGTTAGCAAGTTTTCATTCCCCATGTTGGGGCTATGCTTTTGCTTGTGGGTGTCTCTCCACAGGGTATAGCCTGCTGTTCTCAGACTGAAGGCATTTACAAAGGGAAAGGAGAAGAAATTGGGATTAGGTAGCAAAATACCCTCATTTTTATGCATGGTTTAGCCTGTAACCTTGGTGTTCATTTTTTGCTCTGCACCTGGTCAGGCTTCTATATACTTCTAGAGCTCTTTGTAGTCTTTACAAAAGCATGATCCAAACATGACATGCACCATGATTCCTGCTTCTCACACTGGTTATGGGTGGATGGGATAAACCATGTGTCCTTTTATAATTGTACATTTAGGACGCTGTTCTGGCTGAGGTGGAATGCAACAAAGCTGAAGTATTTTAACAGTGATCTTTCATTTTCTAATAAAGATAAAATTCCAGAAGTCTAAAATAACTGTCACTACAAAAAAAGTTAAAGAATAGAGAGAGAGAGAGAGAGAAACCAAGAAACAGACTCATCTACAGAGAACAAACTGATGGTTACCAGAGGGCAGGTGGGTTGGAGCACGTGTGAACTAGGTGAAGGGGATTAAGGAGTGCACCTTGTCCTGATGAGCACTGGATATTAGAAGTGTTGAACCCACTACGTTGTACACCTGAAACTAATATTTTAAAAAATATTTTATTTATTCATGAGAGAGAGGCAGAGACGCAGGCAGAGGGAGAAGCAGGCTCCATGCAGGGAGCCCAATGTGGGACTCGATCCTGGGTCTCCAGGACCACGCCCTGGGCTGATGGCGGCGCTAAACCGCTGAGCCACTGGGGCTGCTCACCTGCAACTAATATTACACTGCATGTTAACTAACTGGAATTTTTTTAAAAGTTTTTCTTTTTCTTATTTTTTATTTATGATAGTCACAGAGAGAGAGAGAGAGAGAGAGAGAGAGAGGCAGAGACACAGGCAGAGGGAGAAGCAGGCTCCATGCACCGGGAGCCCGACGTGGGATTCGATCCTAGGTCTCCAGGATCACGCCCTGGGCCAAAGGCAGGCGCCAAACCGCTGCGCCACCCAGGGATCCCTAACTAACTGGAATTTAAATAAAAACTTTTAAGTGCTTAATAAATGCTAGCTGAGGGCAGCCCCGGTGGCTCAGCAGTTTAGTGCCGACTTCGGCCCAGGGCGTGGTCCTGGAGTCCCGGGATCGAGTCCCGCTTCGGGCATGGAGCCTGCTTCTCATTCTGCCTGTGTCTCTGCCTCTCCCTCTCTCTGCGTCTCTCATGAATAAATAAATGCTAGCTGAAAAGTTTTACTTTATTAAAGGTACTGAGCTTTTAGTTTCTCTTGCAATATGATATGCCCTCAGACTCCTATGTTTTTGGGTTCCTATATAAATTTTTGTTTTGTTTGCCAATTCTGTTTTCTATATAAATCTTTAGTTGTTTTCCTGTTTCTCACCTCAATATAATTTGTTAATTGATGCCTCTAAAGTACCCCTTCTTCTAAATTTGATGTTTCATCCTACTGTGGGTTTGAGAAATCAAAACACTGTAATGGTTAGAAATGTGTAAAAAGAGGAATCCCCAGCCAAGGCCCCAGGGGATTTCGAAGAATATAGTACAGAAGTGTTAACACAGCACTCAGGAACATCCATTTCCTTTTAGAGGTCCTTTTGGCTTACTTAATGTGTTCTCAGCTGTGTCTGAGAAAGTTGAAAATACCAAATAAGTGACCTATGGATTAATGAGGTACTATTGTTCTAATTCTGTTAGGCATTGGATTAATCAAAAACAAATGAAAGGTTGGTTTTGCACTGTTAATTTTCTAAAATTATTAATAAACTACCAGTGTAATTATTAAGCTTGCAGTCCAAACAATGTTTTTAGCGTATACTTGAATCAATATACAGATCCTAAATTGAAAGGCCCAATTTCTAAAAAAAGCTCAAGTAAAATAGAATGCTTCTGTATGATTGAATCTATAGCTCTGATGTGGAGGTTATTAATTCAATGAAAAGGAGAAAGTCTGAATCTCCAAAAGGACTAAATGAAATAAGAATTAACGAACAACTAATATTACACTGTATGCTAACTGGAATTTAAATAAAAATTTAAGAAAGAAAAGAATTAGTGGATAAGTTAAAAAGAGAAAGGAATTAGGGATTATGAACTCCTGCAAAATGCCAGTCGTATTTCAAAGAGAGAAATTTGAAAGAAAAATAAATTGAAAGATTACAGGCTAATAAAGAGAAATAAGGAGTAGTTTACCAACTCTACTCCCAATCCCTAAGTGAATAATATGCTTCCAATTTAATATTCCATTTAGTAGCGTGTCTACCTTTTTCCCCTACCGAAAAGGCACAAGAGAGACTTTGGTAAGATAACCATGTGCATCAGTGATGATCAAACCGTCTGTTCAATGGCCAGATGCCAGAAGAGGCACAGTGAACCCCACCCTTGGGATATCTGAGCCTGAGCCAGAAACAGGCAGCCACCAAGCCAAAATTTTTATATTCATGTATCTTAAAAATTCATGTATGTTTTGCACCCCGCTCCATTGCATATCAATGTGTTTTTAATATAAAAGTAATGTTTATAACAGTTGAATTATTTAACTCCTCCCATTCCCAAATCTTCAAGTAAAATTAATGCTCCAGGAAGATTTACATTGTGGTTCTTGTGGCTTCCCTTTCCCCCTTGAACAACACCAATATGGTCAGAGAGGGATATGCGAGAAGCATGGATAAAAATTGAATCTTATTATGGTATAATGAGCTCAAGGGTCTCAAATAATCCACAATAAATCAATAATCCAATAATCACTAAATGAAAGCTCTAGTTCTCATGCAACTCTGTGAAACTAAGAAATCTGAAAGATGGTGAACTAGGGGCCCTGCAATCTTAAGATGCCCTCTTAGCTTTTGAGTACAGTTCTTATAAAAGATCAATAATGATGTCTTCCTGCTCCAGTATGGAATTAGTGTTTCCCTAAATACATTAGCTTCAGAAGTATTGAATTACCTAGAAGGTTCAGCACCACAGTGAAACTAATAGCTTTTTTTTTTTTTTTTTTTCCTCAAACTAGTGATTACCAATACAGAAAACACACTGAAGCCTGCTTGGTTCAAAATGACAAAAGGCAAAGACACCAAGACAAAAAGTAACGAAGCATAATCAACTCAAAATCTGGGAAGATGACACTCACCCTCATCCTGATAATCAGGCAAAAAAGGTGCATCTGATGTGAGAGGCAGGCCATGAGTTCCACTATGGTTATCATCAGAGCTGTCTTGTCCAAGATAACTTTCGGCTTGGTCTCCACCTGAGTGACAAAAAAGAAGGAAAATAAGGTCATACTTTGGACATCTTTATAAAGGTCTTTGTAGATTTCTTCTGATATTCATCCCTGCCCTCCCCCAAAAGATATATCTTTTACTTGATAGACATGGTAGCTATTCATTAACATATAAGAAACAGATAAATAAGAACTAACTTACCCCGATGGGAAATTTTCCATTCAACTAACTAGACTTAGAAACTTTTACCATAGAGTAGGGAGACCTCTTGCCACCCAGAGAGAAACTTCTCAATCACACTTCAAATGAAAATATAGCTATATAAATATGTATTCATATATAATGTCTTCCGTTAATTGCAACCTTTACGCTGAACACCTGTTTCTCCTTATATTTCCAAATAGAATAGAATAAATCACACAGAGTTAATCTATTTATAATACCATGTAACAGGTCAATATTCTTTCCTTCTCTGAAAAGTAAAAGACTTAAAAACACAGAGAACTTAGATTTTGCTGGATCCTATTCTAATTTAAATCACTACTTGTTTTGAAATCTTAAGAAAGTTCTCTCTTTATAATTCTAGTTTACAGCCTATGCAACCAACCTCTTAGGATTTCTAAAAGCCCTAAGAAGGTAATATTTGTTCTGTAAAATGGCTTTGATGAAAGGTAATGTATATGCAATACTGAATTAAGCAATTAAAACAGTACTAATCCCTTTTGGGTGTTTTCAACATACATTGGATTATATTTTGTAGAAGTGGCCCATGCTATCATGATACTTTAAAAGGTTCAGACGGAAAAAAAAAAATAAAAAAAAATAAAAAATAAAATAAAAGGTTCAGACGGAAGATGTTCGATCATTCAGAAACCGGAAGAAAAGGCTCTGCATTGCAAATGGCTTTCCTTAAAATCCCCCAAACAGAGGTACAGTCTGCTGATAAAAGGACACCAACAGCTGCTCAGTTCATTTCACAAACATGAAAAGGGGATTTTCAACTGAATTTAATATTATCTCAAATACTAATTTCCAAAGGAAATCACCAATGCTAATCTCAGTAAACACTGTAGAGTTTTGGCCCTGGATTTCAACGAGGGAGCAGTGAAACCAAACAACCTACATAGAATCTGTATTGCCTCACTTTAAAGGTTTATTTCCTACAATTAAACTGGAAGGATAGGGAGGATATAAAATGATAAAAAGAGAATGGCGGTAGCCTTCTCTTTCAATAAATTAGATGATCATATCTAGTCTCTTCTATGAATGCTCAATGGTAGGTAGCTTGTCCATAACGGAGTTGAACACCTGCAGACAAAGGATTTTAGAAATAAAGTATGGGCTTTATTGTGGAAAAGAAAAGTTAAAAACAACAAACAACAACAACAAACAACAGCCTCACACGGCAGTTGTCCAGAGCCCGAACAAATGCTCTCCTTTATTAGGCTACTGATCAGGATACAAAGCTTATTATAGTTATGCTTATAGTATTACTGTGAAATTTCCCTTATAACTAGAAAAATTCTCAAATACTGGACTGAGGGTTAAAGCACTCAAATTTTACATCAGTGGAATTTGCAAATCCACTGAAATTATATTACCAAAACAATCTAAATGGACTGCTTGGCAGGTAACCTGAAAGTGAACTGTGAGGTTAAAGGAATTTTAAATTTTTGAGCCAGACCAAAATCCATTTTAAAAAAAGAAGTAGTTTGGATTGTCAAGCAAAATTTAACATTTGTAGGTATACTAAACATTATTTCTCAACTATTGTTCTAGACTCAAGGTTTTCTGCTTGCTTCAGAAATTTGACCAAATTACTCATATATTCCAGCATTCCAGACTTTTTTAAAATATGCCAGTCAGGAGGGACTTTGTTTTGTTGTACTTTAATGAACATTTTATTTTGGAGTAATTTTACTGAAAATATTACAAAGACCTTACAGAGAGTTCCTGTATACCCTTCACCTAATTTTCCCCAACTTCTTACATAACTATGGTATTTCTATCAAAACAAAGAAATTAACATTGGTGCATTACTATTAACTAAACTATAGACTTTATTTGGATTTCACCAGTTTTTCCACTAATGTCCTTTTTCTGTTTCAGAATCGAATTTAATTGCATTTAGAGTTTCCATTTAAAAAATCTCATCCAAAATACCTGCCTGGCTTTAGCATTAAATGTATCAACTTCAGGGCAGCCCCGGTGGCGCAGCGGTTTGGCGCCGCCTGCGGCCCGGGGTGCGATCCTGGGGACTCAGGATCGAGACCCACATCGGGCTTCCTGCTTGGAGCCTGCTTCTTCCTCTGCCTGTGTCTCTGCCTCTCTCTCGCTCTCTGAATGAATAAATAAATAAATCTTAAAAAAAATAAATGTATCAACTTCAGATGAAAAAGTAACTTCACTTCTCTGTGTTTCCTATGGTTTCTCAACATAAGGTGGGCTTTTAACAGTCATCCCTGTGCCAAATATAAGACCATGCCTTTGTAAAGTATACAATAACAAAGGTATACAGCTCAAGGCAGCAAAAACAGAGCCTGGGTTAGTACTAAAAATGGTTGTAGTGGGGGAAACATTAAAAAATATGTTATACATCCAAGCATAATTAGTTCCTGATGATGGAAATGTTGCTATAAGTGTTTTTAGTGTCACATCAAGTGGCCCAACTCCCTTGGGCACACATAGAAAAAAGCCTATAACACTATATAAATAGACACTCCCATGTAATTAAAATGATTACAACTACTCAAGATGCATGGGTGAAAAGTTTTATAGGAGAACCAGCAATTACTGTGGTCATTTTGGATTTGTTTAAGTTTGGAGCATCATTTTTCCTTAAAGCATAACCGCAAGTGATCGCTGGATTCATCTGCAGCTCTGAGAATCACAGTTGCAAGCGGCCACTACCATAGTCCAGTGGGATCAGACATAAATGATCACAAACTATAGTGACAGACACTTCCATTCAGCAGCTCTACAATTAGGGCTTAGAACTCCATTGCTTAGAGTGGCTTTCTCACAAGCAAGACCCCTTGCCACTAGAGACACACTTTCCCATTGCAACTTGCTCAGAATCAATATATTTCTATACAGATATATATTCTAACACACGATATCTCCATTAATCACATCCACTACCTCTGGTCCCATTTCTTTGTATTTCTAAACAAGATCTGGGGGAACTATACCAAGGGTTCATCTGCTATTAGCTAGTAATTTGCTCCTCTATCCTAAGTGTCATAAGAATTGGTGCTAGATACACTCCTTAGTATAGTCAATGGCAGGTTCTCAGCTGAGTATCATACTGAGGAGCCTATAAGGGGGATGATTTCTCTATTGTTCTTTCCTGAGAATCAAACTCAATTTCATTCATGCTCCATAGAATGATAAGTTGGGAATTTCTGACATTTGGAGCAAAAATATAAAGCAGCTTTGTGTCAGGTGTGAGGTAATTATTTGCTAGGGCTTCCGTGCTATTTGTTTTTATTCCCAGTGTTTTCATTAACAGTTAATGAGTTTTCCCCCTTAATTCTGAAACAATAGCTTGGCCACTAGAAGTTGGCTTTTTTTCTGCCATGGATTCAACCAGCTGTTGCTGCTCCATAAACTTTATGGAGAAGTGAATTAAATTGCTAAAAACTTTCATTTCCTAATTCAATTCCAAATAAAATAGGGTGTGTGTGGGGGGGATGAACCATGATGATATTCCCCTTGTAGCTATTTTGACTCACAGCAAACCCATCTGATTCTGAACTGACAGGTACTATTTAGGAACAAAAACAGACCATAAGGATATCTTCACCAAAGTAATCAAAAAAAGATGGAAAGCAGTTTAAGCATAAAAAGTAACATGACGATAACAAATAGGTAAAACAGAAATATATGTTTGCTTATTCAGTATATAAAGGCCCAAATGTTTTTCCATGTTAGTATGAAGCCATCATCTTTTACTTCTAATTAATCGTGAGCTATGTTATAAATACTTTTTTCAAATCTGCAACCAACTGTTTCTATGGCGTGGTTCAAAATTACCAGGGTTTGCTATCACTTCACCAAGTATCTCTGGATAAAATAAGGAAACTGAAATTAATGTAGAATTATTGACAATTTTTGGCTTTTGTTTTTATTGTTGCTATTAGAAGGCAACACACGACTTCTGACTCTATTTAATATTTAAGAACCCATGAGACACACAGCTCCCTCCTTAAACTAATAAATTCTAAATAAAATGCTATAAATAAAGGTCCCTGATCCAAATACAGTTAGTTTTCATGCTTGAAAGCATTAATACTGCCAGGTTTTCATAGACCAATTTAATAGTAATGTAGTTCCCAAAGCTGAACTAAGGTAAGATTGGAAAAACTGCAGCTTATTATTCCTTATTATAACCATTCACCTAAGTTATTGAATATAACATCAACTACAGAAATAGGTTGGGTACATATGTGCCCATATATGTGAAATGTTCCTTCCATGTAAATATGTTATGGAGTCCATTTGCAACACCAAAGCTAAAGTCCTGTCAACACTTCTATTATAAATTAGATAACATTTTGCACATACTCATGCATTAGAAAATATATGTGTTTCCCACAGAACATCTTAGAGGCTTCACTGATTTCTAAATATCCATTTGGATTTGCGTGGTTAGTTCTTGTGATTAATCCACGTGTTGTGAAGGTCTCAAATTCTTCTCCATTCTCAATATTCTGACTTCCTACCCATCTCTTTTTCTCCTCCTCCTACATCTGGCCATAACTCAATGTATAAATATTCTTTTTTCCTCCCAAGGCCCTGGCAGTGAGTATAATAGTACTGAATGTCATTAAGTCTGCAGAACAAATGATAGGCCAGGTAAAGAAAGTTTCCATTTATCTTTCTTGTAAAAAGTTGCCTCAATGAGATCTTAAATGTACAAGAAATAAATTGAGCCTAAGATTAAGTTATTTTTTAGCTCATTAATAATACTGTTTACTAATTGTATTATTTTCATTATGCTAAGAATAACAGATTTCTCAAGAAC